GGGGGGGGGGGGGCAGGGTAGGGGAAAGAATGGATTTACTCGCCTGGCTGAGCTCTGAGAAAGTGCGTGTTTTGAAAAATGTTTCCATCGGGGGAGGCAGGCTTATCTGTCATTTGGTGTTGAGGAGGTTGTTGCTCTGACATATGAGTTTGCAGCTAAATCTGCCTGTGAGTTTACGCTGTACCACCTTCAGAACCCATTATCTGTGAATAAGAGGGCAAATTAAACATTGTCAACGAGCACCACCGTCTCCCCACTGCCCACATTGTTGTTTCCCTGTCTCTCGTATTTAGTTTTTCAAATTTTTAGTCCATCCTTCTCCGTTTTCCTCCCCCAGTCCCCCCTTCTACCTAGCAGACTACCTCCCTCCATCAGAGCACCCTGAAGCATCAAAGCCTCTCCAACACCACCAACTTCATCGTGAATAAATTGCCAATTTGGTAGACATGAAACGAGTCCCCAGTTCCCCAAACGAGTGTGAGTGAGGAGGAGGGAAGAAGTGTGAGCAGGAGAGAGAAAAGGAGGGAGAGAATTCAATTATTTTTTTGTCTCTATTAAGAGCCCAAACCTCCTGCCCACTCTCCTCACTTGGCAATTAGAGCTGTAGATAATTAACGAGGAGAGGGCAGCACCACGCCACATCCCTAATCACGCACATTTCTGTCTGGCAGAGTAAAGGACTATTGTTATAATTCGGATTCACATAACCAGGGCTAATTATGTAATCGATCAGTCCCAGCCTCCTGTTGTACCTGAGGTGTTGGGGAGGGTGGCGAGTTTGGATGGGAATCCGTAAGCAGCTCCGGGAACGCAGTCCTTACCTGAAATCCGCTGTGACTGCTCAGATGTGACAGCGTAAGATCATTGTTGAACATGTACTCATATATCTGCGGCGCGCGTGTGTGTGTGTGTGTGTGTACGAGTGGGTGGGTGCGAGTGTGTGTCGGCTTGCATATAGTCCTAAGCCATGTTCTATGATGTGACATTGCTGACTGGTGCTGACGTTAAGACTTTTCAGGGGAGAGGGGAGAAAAGCCTGCATCAGGAGAAAAAGAGCAACCGCATCAAGTGTGTGTGTGTATGTGTGAGAGTGTGTTGAGGGGGTGCAGACAGAAATCTCCGCAGCCTATCTACGGCACATGAATGAGGACGCGGGGGGTTCTTTAATGTTCTGAAAAAGGTTTTTTTTTAGCTGACCAAAAACATGTCCAAATGATGCTGGGGTTTCTGTTAGGCTGTCCACACAGACAAACATCAACACAAGCAGGCCAGCAGAACAAAGGACGAATAACACTGAACCACAAACACAAGCTGGTATTATATCTGAGGCGGCGACCAAGCTGTACACATCCATCACACTCAGTTGCGTCTCTTTGATATGGCAACAGAGTGCGATGGCGTTTTAATGAACATAGAAGGATAAGCAGTCATCTGGTTCCAAGCCCGACCTGGTTGCAGGCAGAACTGATAATTAGGTAAGCAATTATCTGTTCTGATCATGGCCTCCAATTGGTCAATTCAATTCTGGATTAAAAAAAAAAGTTTAAAAAAAAACACAGAAATACAACCCCAATTCATTAAACTTTGATATGGAGTTTAAACTTTAAACTGAAACTGAATGCAATGATTTGCTGACCTCTTCAACCAATAGAAATCAGATACATTTTGTTAAATTTTTAAAAATGTGGTGTTTGCAATACATCTCAAAAGTGGCAAACGCGGCGAGAAAAGGCTGGAGAAGAAAGTGGTGCTGAAAATAAACAGCTGGAGGAACGTGTTGAATTCTATCATCTCAATCCCCAGACAACAGGTCTGGGTATAAAAGAAAGGGCACATTAATGAGGGAGGGTTTCACTAAAGTAACGATGGGCTGATTTTCTGCAAAATGGAAATAACAGTGTGGAGCAATTTCGGAAAAATGATTATCTTCATGAAAATGAAAAGACATTAAATATTCCATTGTGTATGGTGTATAATTTCATCAAAAGAAGATGGTGTCCAGAGACATCTCTTGCCTAAGGGACGTGGCTATAGGTCAAAATTGGATGACCGTGAATTCAAAGATAGGAAAAACAGACATGACTTTTGTCCTGGAAATCATGGCATGAACTCAACATTTCCAGATGTCATTGTCTGTGAACACAAATGCAGGGCAAAGCTCCGTCATGCAGAGGAGGACATATGTTAACATAATCCAGAAATCCTGAAGGGCTCACCGTGCCAAAGCCTGTTGAAAATGGACTGGGGCAAAGTGGAAAACTATCCTGTGGTCGCACACATTGAAATTTGAAATACCTTTGGGAAATCGCGGACACCACATCCTCTGGACTAGAGTGAAGATGGACCATCCAGCTCCGGTTCTAAAGACTGCATCTTTCATGGCATGGGGGTGCTTTAATGCCTATGGAACTGGAAACGCACACATCTGGAGAGGCGCCATCTATTTAGAAAGGTATATGCGTGCTTTAAAGCAGCATGTGCTCCCATTTAGATGGCATCTTTTAGATGGAATCTCATTTAAACCGCATACCGCCTCCATTAGAACAGCGTGGCTTCCTAGCAGAGGGCTGCCCTGCACTCCGGCAACTACAAGCATTTGACACATCATAAATCTAGAAAAAATGAATAAATATGAAGACCCAAAGCTGCAGGGCAGTTAGTCTTCCATCAGAGAAGAACGAGACACCATTGCTACCCAGAAGGCCCAACAAGTGGTGATCTGATTCTCCAGATGTTTAAGGGCTGTTATCAAACGGTAAACATGTTCCTTCTCCAAACTTTTTAGAGAAATGTTGCTGGTTTCAAAATTCTTAATGATCTAAATGATCTAAATGTTCTACTGTGGCTTTTAAAAATTGGTTTATTAGATTTGCAGCCATTAGCATTCCATTTCTATTCATAATTATTTTCTGTATCCCAAGTTTTTTTTGTTTTTTGGGGGGAATTGGGGTTGTTTTCAAAATTGAGAGCAAAAGAATATGAACAATCCCTTTGAGGCGACTAAAAACCTGAACCAGAAGCAGATGTGACAGATATCTAATAAGAACCAAATCCTGAAAGGATCGGGAGGCAAAATCATGAGACAGCTGCATAGAATTCAAATTCTATGCAGAGTTTTGTTATGCGCGATTGTACACGGAGACATACAAAAGCTTGCTCGGCAGATCGCATGCTCAGTGTTAAAAAGAAAAAAAACAAAACACAGTGGACCATGGTGTGACATAGTTGTCGACCAAACCAGGAAGAAATACCTGTGTGAAAAATCTGCAGGACCTTTCTCTCTTCTGAAGCTGGAAATTCAAATAATTAAGCCGTTAGCGATGCAACACCTCTCAATCACACACAAAAGGCATTCACACTTACTTTATTAACAGTGTGAGAAAAAACACTTTTGGTGGCCGAAATACATTATTATTCCCCCGATTTTACCTCCTCTCCTAAAGCCATAATTACCTTTCCTCTCACATTTTTTCTTCCACAATGACCTACTGAGTGACTCTGCATCTACCGTAGAACAGGTTAATAATTCAACAAGCATCATAAACCAATGCAGGGCTTCATATAATGCATTGTAATTTGGACTTTTTTCAAATCAGAAATGTCCTTTCCGTTTCCACATGAGTTGGCCCCCATAAAAAAATTTAAAAATCCCCTATTTTTCTGACATTTGTCCTGTGACAATAACTGATTAAATGCACTTTCACTTACAGGTGCCCTAGTTTTTATTTCTTGTAATTGTAATTATTACGGCACCACAGCGGAGGAGATGTGAAAGTTGTGACGGGGGAGGGGGGGATTCTGATGCTAAAACAGAATCAAAATGTTAGCAACTGCCTAAGTCTGACAGCCGAACCCCACAGTCACAGCTGAGCCCAGCAGACTATCTAAAAACAGTTCATTATCACAGCTCTGGGTAAAAAGTAGTGCGCCAGACTGTCCGGGATATATGGCCAACACACAAAAGTTTGGACTAATGATCGTAGTGTACTGGCAGTTCTGGTCAAGTTTTAGTCTTTTTCTGACTAAACTGAATAATAATGTCTGACTACATTTGGACAGCTTAATTGTTTCCCTATTTTAAATTCCTATTTAACTAATGGGGATGCGACATAAGAGCAATGTAACGTATTCAAAAACATCCTTGAAATGTATGCAAAATATATAGCTCTTTTAATATAAGCTCTTTTCTCTGATTGTTTTAGCCTCAACGTTGCTCTTAACATGGATGGACTGAAGCTTAATCCAATTATCTACTAAGTAGTTTTCAATAGGCCTGCTCATTTCTAAACACTTTCTGTGGAGGACTTCCCAGTTTGCTCTAAGTAACGAACCATCAGGCCAGTCAAGTTAGCCAGTCTGACAATTCTGTTTAATCAAACTCGCACACCGAATGCCTATTTGAATAAAGCGGAGCACTTCCTATTTACTTCTGTGGGAGAAGGAGATCCTTTCAATTTCACTTGATGTGATCCTGATGTAAAGACTTAAGTCTTTTTGTCAATAGCATCTTTATTAGCTATAGCTCCGAGACTAAAGCTAAATTAATGGGATATGACATCAGATCTATCCAAAATGACTGTGCAGTACTGCTATGCTTCCATGAGGGTAACTGAGACGGAGTCCAAATTCAATTTTAGTCCTGATCTGAGATAAGCTGACCCCGCCAAAGACTAAAAGCAGCCTTCAGCATAACATATTACTCAAAGCCAGAGCAACTCTCCATGTAAATATCTGTCGTGTTACTGTTTGCTTCGCTCTTCACCAAAAATCAAATGCTTGTTCTAAACCCCTCTAGAAAACGTGGGACAAGACAATAAAGTAACACTATTCCTGTTTTGACTGCCTTGCATACACTTTTCCCTACACTTCTGTTTCTCGTTCTCCTATTTCCTATAAATGTGGAATTTGCAAGCGTACTCAAAACCATCTTCCCCTCATTCAACCATTCAGTCGTCCACTTCATACCTTGGTGAGGCTGCGGGCCGCGCTGTCCTTGCCCCCAGGAGTGAGGTTTCTGAGCTGGACGTCCAGGAGTTCCACCAGTTGGGCCATGGCCCGTACGGTGGAGGGCACATCCCCAGGACGCAGGAGTCCTTTGGTCTGCTCTGCCAGCTCCCTGGCCACGATGGCCGCCGTCTCGCCTGAGCGGAGCTGCAAGCGAAAGGTGGACGGCAGAGAGGGGAAAAACCGTGAAAAAGTGAAGGCAACAAAAAAAAAAAGATGGATGGCGGTAACAAAAAACAAAAAAACGAAAAAGTAATTTGAGGTGAGAATTGGTGAATAGGAGAAAAAGTCAGAGTTGGAAGCGTACACGGGCGAGAGAAAGAAAAGTTGCAGCAAGTGACGGATGGAGAAATGTGAGCCGAGGACAGACAAAGACAAAAGGCAGACAGTGGGAAAAATAAACGGGAATAAAAGGTGAGCGATGCAAGGGGGTGTAGACAGGAGAAAACTGTTAATGCACTGGGTCATTTTGAACTTTTTGTGTGTTGGTTTACTTGTGCATTTTGCATAAAAACACTCAATACTTCTTTTAGAGAAACTATTTCCGCATTACCATTGCAACGGTAAAGTTCACCAGGCCACGGACAGACTTTGACTCACAGATGAAACACAAAGAACTCCACTCTCATTTCAACATGATCAAAAGTCATCCGACCTTCCAGAAAATATTAAAAAAGCAGAACACAAAACTCTTCGAAATACACGCTTTAGAACAGGGTGATGAGATTTTGAATTTATCAACAAATAATTTCTATGAGAGAGATTTTTTAAAACAAAACTTTAAACTCTGTTTCCTAAATAAAGCAATTTTTTCCCTTTCAGGTTTATTGTTCTTTTCTGATTTCATTTGTGTCTCTTCCTAATTAATCTTTGGAAGGCAGATCAGAGTTTTTCTCCTTTTTTTCCCCCTCAGCCCATTAGCCAATTAGCCTATCACAATATCCACCGGCATATCGAGATAACAATAACAGCAAACTGTGAAAAAAATGACCTTATTGGATATTTCCATTTCCCTTCGGCTAAAGCGGACCTCAAACATGACTTAAGGTTAACGAATGGAGATGGATACATGGCCTAAATCTTTCCCTGTGGCCACTGCCTCTTCACGAGTGAGGAAAACTGCTTGGGGGCTGTATCCATAGCACACACTCTTAATCCAGGGCTCAGTGGGAACTCTGAGAGCCAGCGGCAGCGTTCAGACTCACTTTCTGCATGATGTGGTTGACCCAAGGTGACGTGCAGTTGCTGAGGTCGGGGCCTTGGGGATCCCAGTAGCCCAAATGGGCCACGCACATGTATGTAGCCACGCCTGCAAGACAAGAAAAGCAAACAGCCTGAGACAGTGTTGACATTCATCAGGAGACACGGAGACTCTCATGCTGCTTGGCATTTTGTGTTTGCAGAGCTTGCCTGGGTGACAATGGTAGCTGGAGGAACTGGAGGATTATTTTTATCACAGAAGCTATTTGATTAAAACGGGGGGTGGGGGGGGGCGGGGATTTGAGCAGCTAGGACGTGTTGGGAAAGCATGCACACGCCACGCACTTCCTCATCCAATAAAGATGAAACCTGAAACGCGTTTGAATTTCAAATGCCTCCCCGGGTCAGTAATTCCTCATCTTTTCTTAAATGAAAATGTATTGATTTATCGGCTTTTATCTGTTGGACTTAGTGGGTTGTTACCAGGCTTGCAATTTAGAAAACAAACACAACATGTCGTGTGTGGACACACAGAAAACACAATATACATCTGTTTTTCATAGTAGCACTGCCGTCAAACAGGCAGCGATCCCTTTTTTAGTCATTACACAGGTTGTTGTCTCTTTACTGTTTTTGTGTATCTGTAAAAGTTTTCCAGTACTTTGACAAACAATAACAAAAACATATAATTACTATTAATAGTAATTAAAGGGAGCAGACAACAATGTTAACACTTGGACGATGCGTGTGTTCATGGTTGCTATAATTAAACTCTTATGCCGTCCATCCTCCTTACCCAGAGTCCCGACAGGGCAGGGCTGCTTGGCCATCTGGCCTTGCTGCGTCCGAGGCCACGATATGTCCGCCATGACCCTCGGACTGCAGAAGTCTTGGGGCGGCAGGGCGGGGGGCTGCGGGACAGCGGGAGCGGCCTGCACGGGAGGGGAGCGCCCGCCTTTCTGATTGGAGTCGGGAATCTGATTGGTGTCGTCCGACGAACCTCCGGCTGCGATCAAGATGGGCTGGCGGACGGTGGTGGTGGTCCGATACCGCTGGCCGGGGGAGGTGGTGAGGAGAGGCCTGGGCGTGGTGTAGAAGGGGGGAGACCTCGTGGTGGTGGCCCGGCTGGTGGACGAAGAGGACGAGCCCCCCCCTCCCATCGGACCCCCTCCTTTGATGGGTGGGATCATTTGAGGTGGACGGTAATCTGACCAAAGAGAAGACGGAAGGATCTTAATGCAAAGAAAAACCGAACGTAAAAGAGCTGCGTTCGATCGACCTCCTGCTGCTTTAGGGACGTGAGCGGCAGCCTACAAGCGTAAATAATAAAGTGCAGACACAAACACATTCACAGGCACGCGTTTACACAGCACTAAACAGCTGTGACAGCGAGTAGCTCATGTTTCTGATGACTTCCAAATGAAAACTGTTTCATCCCCAGTCACAGTGGTAACATGTCAGATCCATTATGAAAGCAACGCAATTCATCCCCTTCCACTGTAGGAATAATTTCTAAACCATTTTGTCAACAATAATCTAACGGATCTGGGGGAACGGAATAATTCCGAGCGAAACATAAAGTCTTAAATAAGGCCGATGATTGTTCTTTCCTGCGAAAGAATACCACTCTTTCCTGGGGGAGTGCCACACGGCAGCCGTTCTTGCAGCTCAACTCGGCGGAAAAAAATATTCTTTGAGTGTCATGCATGATTCATAACGCCATGACATCACAGGCAGGAGGGCCACTTAAATGCATATGGTACTGTCTTTGACTGTCAATATTTCATTATGAAACGGCTCAATTATTCACGCTGGCCCTGTTTAAGGACTACATGTTTAAAAAAAATGGATGACGAGCTGGAGAGTGTGCGCAACAGAGCATATGTTTCTCAATGTCAGTGCCCTTTCAACCTATTGTCTTTAAATACAAACCGTGCATGTGTTGTAGTCACACTGGGTCGCCAGTTGTTTTCCTCCCTTTATTCTAAATGTCTTTGTTAGTGTCAATTGTATTCTAGTGTGTATATCCGTGCTCAAGTGGAGCCTATTGTCCAAGTCCAGAGCCTTGGCGTTACCTTACAGCTGAGTTTCAAACTAATGTGGAATAAATATGGAATGCTAAATATACTCAGTCAGGGTTAAGCCATTACCTATTTCAAAAACTCATTTCAAATTTACAGGACTGTTTCCACTGCATATTATCAACTCCGAGCCATCACTCAAGCATTATTTAAAATATGTCCATGACAGGATGGAATGCAGATTCATGACTATATAGACAGAGATATGACTGTATGGATAGATGGGTCTCCAACTGATCCTATGAACATCTGACATTTGTCCAGAGGAGCTTAGACCTGGAATATTTAAGATCCAGTGCGGTAGCCTCATGCCCTTCGGCCTTTTTCAGAGGTTGTGATATTATTTGCCACCCCCGTGGTTGCACCTTTCACATTGGGATGGTAGTGAGTTTTTATTTTGTTCGTTTGTTTTTTTAATATAAAAAAGCACTCCGAGGCGTTACAAATTGCTGGCAGAAAAAAAAAAGGAATGAAGTTGCCTTTGGCCGCTTTAAAGTCTACCCTGATGTTGAGAATTATTGATTTCATGATTTTTAGGAGAGATGGAAAGTACTTGCACTCTGTATTTATTCTCACAATGCGCCTCAGGGTGCACTGCGCGCTGCCTTTTGGTCATTTCCACTGAAGAGTTACTTGGTTGTCATCTCTCAATAAAGGCTGCAATATTGCAAATTTCCCCATTACATCTCATTTAAAATTCTCATACGTCTCAGATTGACTGCGGATGGACTTTATGCTGTCGGGGTGCCATCAGACTCAATGGCATGAGCTAAATCTGAAGAGATTAGATTTCTGTGCGGCGCACATTGGGCTATGCATGTAATTAGTTTTTCCTCCCCTGGAGTGTTTTGGTAAATATCTTTCTGTATGCTTGCGTCTTAGCGGGTGATGGGAAGGTTCGAGTGTGAGGAGTGTGTCTTTGGGTGGTAGGAGAGAGAGTGGGTGCCCGTATTGTTTACTGTGAACTTGAAACGTCCCTTCCTGTTGATTTTACGCTCAAACAAACTCGTCTCTCCATTTCTCCGTGCGGCCGCTTGACCGACAACCATCTCACGTCCCCTGTGTTGTGCGCCTCGGTTCCTAAACCGAGCTGCTTCCCAATCCTGAATCACCGCTGCCCCGCCTCGTGCATCCTCGGTGGAATGTTGCCATCAATCATGCGTGGCAGCCGCAGCCGGGGGACAAGCTGTCAATCTTCCTGTGTTTGCGCGAATGTGTCTACTTATGAAGCAGGGAGTGTGTGTGTGTGTGTGCCTATCTGGACTCAAATGGGAAGCTCCATTAGGGGGCCCTGCCACAACAATAGAAGAGTAATGGTGTGTGTATGTGTGTGTGCATCTGAGGTACCGGTGAGGTAACACAAAAGTCTGCAGGCATCACAGGCACAGGGGCCATGCCACTTCGCTGCCCCTGAATGTCTGACTCTGATCCTTCTCCTCTCCTCTCCTGACATTTTTTTTTTTTGCCACGTTTCCCTTTTTTCCCCCTCCTTTCGCTCTGTTTTTATCTTTCATACATTCTTTCCCCTTCCGTTATCAACTCCCAAATTTCTCACCGCCACCTTTCATCTCCTCTTGCCCTCCCCTGTGTCTTGACGCTGTTCTCCTATGCTTGCTCTTTTGCAAGCACTTTATCTCGGGATGTGATGAATTCATCACTTGCATCACTCAAGGCTGTGGTGAACTACAGGAGCATGACATAACAAGTTCATGAAACATTTATAAAGAAAGGAGGCTAGGGTTGTAATCATGGGGGCTGACATGTCTCCCCGCATTCAGACTTGGAGGCCTCAGGTAAATGGGCCCCGACAGCCTCACCTGACCTAAATGTTGTGCCTCACACCAGCGCCGATGGAGGCAGCACAAGCCGAATAGGAGATTTAGCCCCCTTATCTCTTCACAGGAAAGATCGGTTATCACATCCACTGCCTTTTCATTCCAGGACATGCATGAGAGACATTCACTGCACCGCAGAAATGTAAGACATTTGACTTCTTTTATGGACACTCTGCATTGCCGCCGAGCTGGCTGGCTGCCAATGCGAGATCCTACAGCAGCATTAACTCCACTGTTTAAAGCAAGGTCGATGCTACTGTAAACTGTATCAATTATATATCGCAGTGTGACCTAATAAAAGAACAGCGGGGTCCGGCCCAGCTACAAGGGAAACGTCCCTCCCAAAGAAAGACAGGAGACAAAATCTCCTTCCTCTCATTTGAATGTTTAACTCACGTCCTTACAGTAATATGTTTGCGAAACAATAAAAGGCACAATCTTATCATATAATTACACATAATAGAGATTGTAAACAATCAGACGGAGTAATTCATCATCTGATGGGGTAGCCTGTGTGAAACCACTGAAAGCAGCACAATAGCTGCTAATGTTAAGAACCTGTGGTGAGGGTTGCTGTCAGGTATCAACTGTATCCTCAGACAAGAACAAGAGTTTAGTCTTATGTTTGGGGCCTCAATGAATAAAAACAGAAAAGGATTATTCAAAATCCAAAATTCTTTTCGATTTAACTGTATTTTATTCTGTTTTTTCTGACCTGTGGTGAGCCCTGGGGGATGTGAACAATTGCAGACTTGCAGGCATTGAGTTGCTCCTGAAGATGGCATCTGTCACCACACTGAAGGAGCCACGTAGATGCCTTCAATCATCCCGAGATGCCAACACTTCAAACGCGTCGGCTGACACCGCGCAAGTGTGTGCGCGCGTCGACATACGTGTGTGACTGTGTGCGGTGGCGTTTCTCTTTTTTTAGTGAGGCTGCCTGCTTCTGCCTGTGCTCCCCTGCCCCGAAAGCCCCTGTTGACTTCTTCCTCGGCAAACAGAGGGGATCGTAAATCCACAACACAAAAGGTAGAAGAGGGGAGATGGAGAGACGAGCTTCCCCTGGCAAGTGCTGTGACGCCGTTTGAAAAAACAAAACAGAACAAAAAAACACAGACAACAGCGAGGGAATAAACGGGAGGCAAAGAAAAGAGGGATTTGAACTAAGACAGAAGTTTCTCGGAAGTGGGATCAGCGGCTGTACCACTTAATATGCACAATTATAGTTTGCTCATATGTGGCTTCCTTCTTTGGATCTGCACATATGTGTGTATATATATATATGTGTGTGTGGGTGTATATATATTTACACCCACACACACACACACATGCACAAGTCATCTTGAACAGCAGGGAGACGACAGATCCAGAGGGGTAAAAGCAAAGCGATAATCTGACTGGAGGTCACAAAGCTTTCTAGGCTAGATAGCAGCACATTCACACAAAATGCTGATGGGACAGAATGGAGCTCTTCAAAGCAACGATGCTTTAAGATAAATAAAAAAAAGGAAAAACTTTGACGAATAGAGCCTGATTCAAAATGGCTGCCAGGAGCCACCCTGTTTCACAGCTAATGTTTCACATCCAGACTGCTCGGGCCTGTTGGCCTGCCTGCTGCTTGCACAATCACATCATCCTTATGCCGGAATTGGCTGCACCCCCGGCACCGTTACCGATTCCATGCTTCTTTCTTAATCAGGGGAAGTTCCCATGTTCAAAGCAATAAGCTAATGGGATAAGCCGCTTTTTCATTTTTCTGTATTGTTTTTCAGCCTTTTAATGTCGGTGAACCATCAGCATATTTCTTTAAAGCCTGCTCTGTGGCCTCTGCCTTTACAGACTCGATATATTTGCGTTAATTCAGAGAAAATAACTGCTCTGAGAGGACAGCGGGCATCCAAGAAAATCCTATTAAGAGGTCTAGCCGTTAGCAGAGCAATCCAATGGCTATTCAGAATTCCTCTCCCCACTTTATTACCATGTCCCACAAACAGTTTTTTTTTTTGTTTTTTGCCCCATCCGCACATTTTCTATATTTCAACAGTAAATTCTAAGGACAATGCAGATACGGTGGCTCGCTGTGCTAGCTGCTCTCATCATTGTGTTTGCTTCCTGCATGGCTGTGGGCTTCCCTTTCCACTCTATTGTCCTGGCATGGTCTGCTTAATTTGGCATCTGCTGTTTGGCAGGAGGAGAAGTGGTGCAGGGGCCAAATGCACGCAGAGGGTCTGGCCGGGGCTATCCAATTGATAAGGACACGCTGCAGGCAAAGAACAGGTGCGGCACACTCT